ACAGTGAGCTACACAACCGAGAACATTTCCCTGCAGGACACCTTCCAGGGACTTCTATGTTAGGATTGGGCCCAGTGTTTATTCAAATAAATGCATCACTGCCCTGGCCAGGTGGCTCAGTTGGTTGGGCATCATCACGTACACCAAAAGGTTGTGGGTTCGATTCCCAGTCAGGGCACATACCTAGGTTGTAGGTTTGATCCCTGGTTGGGGTGCATATGGGAGGCAACCGACAGGTGTTTCTCTCTCTTATCAATGTTCTCTCTCTCTCTCTCTCTCTTCCTCCCTCCCTCCTTCTAAGGATGTCCTCAGGATTGAAAAATAAAAAAATAAAAGTAATAGATTTAACGGTATATAAAAATGCATCCCAATTGGTTGACTTTTCTGCAGCAGTGGCCTATCAGCAGGGGAGGTATTCAAAGACATAGGGTGGTTCCTGGGCTCTTCAAAACACAGCTCACCAAAAGGCAGCCTTGGCTAGGTCATTCCCAGAGGACAAGTGGGAAGCAGCAAGTAGGAAGAAGCTGGAGGTCCTGCCCCTGGGACTGACTTCATGCCATCCTCTGGCACCTCTGCAGTCAAGGCCAGGATGCCTGGCTATCTTTTCAGCCTGGGCTGGGAAGTCACATCTTCTGTACTTCAGCTCCAGCCCTCAGGGAAGAAGGCTTTGCACAACCAGAGTCCTCGGTTTGAGTTCTTTACTAGCTGTTTGACCTTCAGCACATTACTCAACCTCTCTGTACCTTCATTTCCTTGTCTTTAAAATGAAGATTAAAATAGTTGTGACCTGAAAAAGTTTATAAAAAAATTTAGGTGATAGTCATAATAACATAAAATTAAACATTTTGATGTGTACAGTTTGGTGACGTTTAGTGCATTCACAGTGCTGTGCAAACAGCACCTCTGTGAAGTTCCAAAACATTTTCAATGTGTGAATGTAAAGCCTTAGAATAATGCCTGGTATAGCAAGTGCCAATGAGTGCTCAATAAATGGTAGAAATGGCAGAAATGATTAGCAGAGCAGTGGTCAGAACATGTAACAAGTGGCAGGTGGTGGGATTAAGTTGCTTCTCTTGGGCTGCAGGAGGGGGAGTCGGTTCTCACTCTCCTCTAGGCCCCATTTTCCACGTTGAGCTCTCTGTACCCACCCACTGTCGAACCCCTTCTCCCACCCAGGGTCTTGCCCTCACTGTTGGGGTGGCAGGCGCTGATGGAGCCAGGAAACCTGGAGCCTCTACCACAGTCTCAGGGCCTCTCCTCTGCTCTTTTTGGCCCACTCCCTGGATCTCCCACATCCGCTGCTGCTCCCCCAAGCTGTCACCTTCTGTGGTAAGGGAGACATGTGTGGGTTGGGGCGGCTGGGAAAATTCAGCCTGGGTGGAAGAGAATGAATGGGAGTGGAAGCATCCCCACATCTGGGAGGCGCTCTCATGAGCAGACCACCCTCGCTCAAGAGAGCACCAGCTCCTTCCCCAGGGCAGGCATTTACTCGGAACATCCTGGGATCTCCCGCATCCAGCAGATCCCCGGGAACCTGCAGATTAACATGCACCCTGCTGAAGGGGGTCTTAGGAGCTGCAAAGTTTGGGACAAACTACTGTCGCATCATCTTTCTAGATGTAAACATCCCGTTCTGTGGTTACTTTGTGCCAATTTAAAGCCTTTCGGGCTGTAACAATAGCTAAGTGTTAATCTCACTATGCACATGCACTGACACCCAGGCAAAGCGTGCCGAGTGTCCTTGATGAGCCCAGGGTACAGCAAAACCTCCCTGGACCCATCTCCCCCAATTGTCCAGCACGCGGAGCCGCAGGAGCCATGGACTGTCCTTTGCTGCCACCTTGTGGCAGGCATGGGAACTTTGCGCTCCATTTCCTTCCTTGATCACCTTAATCAAGAAAACACTGAATATCTACTGTGTGCCAGGTCCCCGGTAAGATCCTGCGGACCTAAGTCAGACAGAGAAAGACAAGTACCATATAATTCCACTTACGTGTGGAATCTAAAGAACAAATTAAATGAACAAACAAAACAGAAACAAACTCATAAAGAGAACAAACTGAAGGTTGCCAGGTGGGAGAGGGGTTCCCCGGGCTGGGTGAAAACGGTGAAAGGATTAAGAAGTACAAATTAGTAGTCACGGGAACATAAAGTACAGCATAGGGAATATAGTGAATAATATTGTAATAACTATGTATGGTGCCAGGTGGGTACTAGAATTATCAGGGGAATCAATTAGTAAATTATATAATTGTCTAACCACTATGCTGTACACCTGAAACTAATACAAAATAATATTGAATGTCAACTGTAATCATAATAATAATAATAAAGTTTCTACGGACCTCGGGGGCAGATAACAAGACAGACATGGTGGCCGATTTTGCGAAGCTCACAGCTTCCCAGAAGGGACGGTCAGTAACCCACAAATAAATAAAATTGAGTAAATAAGATGATTACAGAGTGTGATACAAGGTAGGAGGAAAACAGGGGCTGGGTATCACAGGCTGAAAAGATACGTTTGATAAACCGAGTGTCTGTCTCCCTGCACACCCCCTCCCTGCCCAGGACTGTGGGCCATGCAAGGGCATGTGCATCTGTCTGACTCCCCCTCGTGAATGGGTGAAGTCACCCAGGGCTGGCACATAGTAGGTGCTCAGTAAATGTCTAATGAATACCCGATGACAAGCCTGTCCAGAGCCAGCTTCTTGGCTCCTCCAGGCCAAACAGGTGAGAGAAAAGAGGGGCGTATGGAAGAGAGGCTGGGTCCCCAGGGGCCCTGGAATGGCTGTAAGGGTTTGGGTGAAGATGTTGGACAACTGTCACCCTTCCACGGAGGCCCCAGTCCGGCCTGTTTTAAATTGTGCCCTCACTCCGCTTGCTTCTCGAAGCCCTTCCTTGCTTATTTTTTTCTCTTTGGCACTTTTTCACCGTATCACATGCTATATATTTGCCTTATTTGTTTAATGTCTGTCTCCCGAAATGTAAACTCCACAAGGGCAAGGGTTTTTGTCTATATTGTTCACTGATGGCTCCCTAGGGCCTGGAAGTGCCCGACACTTAGTAGGTGCTCTGCGAACGAATGATGCATGGGCAGGACTTGGGGGCACGGCCTTGAAGGCTCTGGGGCGAGGCCAGTACGAGGGGCGGGATTCAGAGCCCCGGGGGCAGGTTGATGGAGTTCCAGAGGAGGCCAAGTGTGCATGGTGCCGGGGACGGAAGCCTCGGCGGGTGAGGGTCCGCCTAGCGGCAGAGCTGGACCGGGGCGGGGCCTTGGGGCGGGGTCTTCCTGGGGCTGCGCGGTCCCCGAGGTCGCTTGCTTTAGGGAGGGACCAGTAGGCGGGGGTTGGGGGGCCTTGGCCAATCTGGAGGAAGAACCGGATTGGGGGCGTGGTCAAGCAAGAAACATAAAACGAAAGGCGTGGCTAAGACGGGGGAGGGGCCAGGCAGCGGCGGGACCAATCAGGGAG